GATACCCCATAGACTACCTAAGCCATTGATATGGCTTCTTGATGTCAGCATTCTAACAGTCTAACAAATACATTTCATATAGACCTACAGTATGTCTATCGCAAAAATAATAATTTGGTTGTGTTTAGGAAGGTCTAAGCTAACATTAGAATATGAAAGTAAATGTTGGCTATTTTAAAGAACACAATAGTATTTTCATTAGATTTTGTAGGCTAACTGTAGGCTATATGGAAAACCACAAACACCACAATTCAAGTGTTAAAATCCATTAAATAAACAACATCACAAATATAATGAATGATTAATTCGTTAAGGGCAGGTCTTGAAGAACATTATCAAACTCAGAAAATGCATTTCAAAAGAACAGAATGGCATACTTTGAGTTTAAATATATTACTGTGCTTTGAGTGTTGCAAGTGCATGTGGGGAGTGCATGGAATCAAAGTAATTTTGAAATAGAGCTCGGGGTAATTTTAAGAGTTGTTTGGCAGGTGTAGGTTGGAAGCAGAATATGTTTTGAAAGTGTTTAAGGTTAAGTTTAGGCATTAATTCCAAATGGTTAAGGTTTGGGATAGGCTTAAAACAAAAATCTCAAAAACAACTATCACTGCATTCAAACTTGCAACCTTTGGAATCAGATGCTTACAATCCAGTACCCATCCCTGTCCACAACGCCCTAGCAAAACCAAAACCTTCTTGAAGGTAACAGCGCTCACTGTTGCCCCTAGTGGCTGGATTCCACCTCATCTCCCGACATCCTCAGACATAGATGGACGTCGAATACTAACTTGTATCATGGGTCACCTGGCTGAATATTGTCACCCATCAGACTATTTTCAATTTAATCTTGTCTTTAGGCTAATTCTTATGTGTGTGAAATTAGTTGCAGTATAGTTTAGGTGTAGTTTCGATGGGCCATCATCAGCTGGGCAGGCTGACTGGCTGTGAAAGCGCCATTCTCTCACTAGTTGCGTGAGTGAGAGAATGTATTCAGTTGAGCCGACCATGTCAGACCACAATGCCATCTCATCCATATTGTTGCTCTCATTTCTCTTATTTTGCACAATCTTCGCTACTCACTGAAGTTCACTCTTAAACAATTCATTTAGACCCTGCAATTATTTGAAACAGGCGTTTATTTGCTGAAATGTGTGACGATGCCCTGCTATGAAAAGGGACATTACAACCACTCACATACCGGCTGCACACCTGTCAAATGAACTTTTGGCGGCTATTTGAAACTCTGCATTTAATTGAAGTTTTATGGGTACATCAAAGTTACAGGAGGATTTTCAAAGGAAAACTTATGCACTTTAGACTCAGAGTCTAAATAAAACAGCTCACCGTCAATCACACCTTGGTTATTTATTTTGCTGCTTTCCTCCAAAGTAGCAATAAAGTAGGGAGAAGTCTGAGAGAAGTTGCTCTTGGAAACCGAAAAGCATGAATCTCAGCAAACAGGGATTTTCATTTGAAAGTAACTAAATATCTGATTACTAAAAGTGTCAAATGAACATGTTACGTTCCTCTTAACCACAAAAAAGTAATCTGAGTAATCTAACGTGTTACTTTGTAAGGCAACAATGGCAAACAGGGAGTACAGGAGGGGACTAAGCACACATCCCTGTGGAGCCCCGTGTTGAGAGTCAGTGTGGCAGAGGTGATGTTGCCTACCCTTACCACGTGGGGCAGGCTAGTCAGAAAGTACAGGAGTTTCCTCTTCCCCCTGCTTGTGTATGTGTGCACTGTGGGAGGACTGATGTTCTTTGGCAGAGAATCTCCTCTGCTCTCCACAGTGACAGGGCTCACAGTCAATCCTCTCAGCTTTATAGTAGTTTACATCTCATTACAACCCCTCACATACCTGCTGCACACCTGTCAAATGAATTTTCCATACGTGACCATCAAACAAAATTGATGCAGTGGACCAGTTGACCGTGGTTGGTGACCACTACTTTCAGATCTAACCTTTTGACCTCTCTCCTATGTTCCAGTCTGTGGTGATGAGGGAAGGTAACAAGCTGAAGGTCTCTATGTAGGGGATCGAAACTGTCTCAGAACTGGTGGATGCGAACACCGTCGTCAACGTGAGTCCAGTGGCATATGTATGGGGGGGTTCATTAAACTACACTATTTTAGGGTACATTTATAACATTCAATTGGGAATTAATTAATTGTTTATGACTGATGTGCCATGAATCCAATTCAACCCTTTGCTGCCACCTGTGCTCTTATTACAGCCTAACCCTATAGGTCCACTGTACTGGCATGGATTTACAGAGTGTAATGATTAAATGTATCCACTAGGTGAAGCTCTTTCTCTTTTCAGATCTTGACTGTAGCTGGCACCGCAGCAAATGAATGTGAAAATCTGCTGCACTGTTTGGAATAATACAATTTAAAAGGCATGGAATAGTCTGGTCTCACTGCAATGCATTGTAATAGCATTTTACAAACTTAGGTAGAACTTCAGAGAAAATTTAGAAATTCTGCAATAATGAGACACTAATGGTGTAATTTGGAAGAATATGGAACAGTGGATCAGTGGGATTCAATGCAATAGGAATTCAACACACAAAGCCAACAATGGATTTTTCTCAACAATTTTATTGTGACTTTACTTTTTTTATATAAAATAAAAAAAGCCCAGCAGTGTAGAAAATAAAGCTAGAATTCTTAACTGAAACAATAACAAAGCGGGCACCCCGCATCTGTTTTGGTAAAAAGCTGATGGACGGGCCTGGAGAAATGGTACCACTCTCAAATTGATATGCAGAGCTATGGATGCAAGGACTGACCATCCACGATATAACAACTGTTGTTTTACCCATGTTTTAAAGCTATACAGTGTTTGTTTACATTTACATTGTTTACAAACATTGGAGTAAAACAAGATTATATTTTGGTTTTGATAGGGTACGACAGTTGAACTAAACTCATGAGGCCTTTATAAGTTATATTCTTCAAGAATCAATGGGTATATACACTTGAAGTCGGAAGTTTATATACACTTAGGTTGGAGTCATTAAAACTTGTTTTTCAACCACTCCACACATTTCTTGTTAACAAACTATAGTTTTGGCAAGTCGGTTAGGACATCTACTTTGCGCATGACACAAGTAATTTTTCCAACAATTGTTTACAGACAGATTATTTCACTTATAATTCACTGTATCACAATTCCAGTGGGTCAGAAGTTTACATACACTAAGTTGACTGTGCCTTTAAGCAGCTAGGAAAATTCCAGAAAATGATGTCATGGCTTTAGAAGCTTCTGATAGGCTAATTGACATAATTTGAGTCAATTGGAGGTGTACCTGTGGATGTATTTCAAGGCCTACCTTCAAACTCAGTGCCTCTTTGTTTGACATCATGGGAAAATCAAAAGAAATCAGCCAAGACCTCAGAAAAGAAATTGTAGACTTCCACAAGTCTGGTTCATCCTTGGGAGCAATTTCCAAACGCCTGAAGGTACCAACGTTCATCTGTACAAACAATAGTATGCAAGTAAAACACCATGGGACCACGCAGCCGTCATAACGCTCAGGAAGGAGACGCGTTCTCTCTCCTAGAGATGAACGTACTTTGGTGTGAAAAGTGCAACTCAATCCCAGAACAACAGCAAAGGACATTGTGAGGATACTGGAGGACACAGGTGCAAAAGTATCTATATCCACAGTAAAACAAGTCCTATATCGACATAACCTGAAAGGCGCTCAGCAAGGAAGAAGCCACTGCTCCAAAACCGCCATTAAAAAAGCCAGGCCACGGTTTGCAACTGCACATGGGGACATCGTTATGTTTGGAGGAAAAAGGGGGTGCTATGCAAGCCGAAGAACACCATCCCAACGTGAAGCACGGGGTGGCAGCATCATACTGTGGGGGTGCTTTGCTGCAGGAGAGACTGATGCACTTCACTAAATAGATGGCATCATGAGGAAGGAAAATTATGTGCATTTATTGAAGCAACATCTCAAGACATCAGGAAGTTAAAGCTTGGTCGCAAATGGGTCTTCCAAATGGACAATGACCCCAAGCATACTTTCAAAGTTGTGGCAAAATGGCTTAAGGACAACAAAGTCAAGGTATTGGAGTGGCCATCACAAAGCCCTGACCTCAATCCTATAGAAAATGTGTGGGCAGAACTGAAAAAGTGTGTGCAAGCAAGGAGGCCTACAAACCTGACTCAGTTACACCAGCTGTGTCAGGAGGAATGGGCCAAAATTCACCCAACTTATTGTGGAATGCTTGTGTAAGGCTACCCCAAAAGTTTGACCCAAGTTAAACAATTTAAAGGCAATACTACCAAATACTAATTGAGTGTATGTAAACCTCTGACCCACTGGGAATGTGATGAAAGAAATAAAAGCTGAAATAAATCATTCTCTCTACTATTATTCTGACATTTCACATTCTTAAAATAAAGTAGTGATCCTAACTGACCTAAGACAGGGAATTTTTACTAGGATTAAATGTCAGGAATTGTGAAAAACTGAGTTTAAATGTATTTGGCTAAGGTGTATGTAAACTTCCGACTTCAACTGTATAATTGATTTATAAGTCCAAAAATGGATATAGCAACTAAGGATTCTAGCTTTAAAGCTTTGGTAGGTCCGTCCATCTAGTCTGTTACAATATGAGGGTTACCAAATGGATCAGAATCCTTCCATCAATGGGCGCATAATAGTTTAAAAGTGGCTTCCTCAATGTCTAGTGATTTTGAAAATGCAAGTTGGGTTAAAGCAATGGTGGATGTGTTTTGGGAATTTGCTTTTACTAGTTCTTTCACACCAGTGTAGCTGACAAGGGGATAAAGCGAGGGGATATGAGGGTAAGGGGTTTCCCAGCTACAGTATGGATGGTGAGGAGCCATGGATGTGGGAACTGAGAAGGGTTGATTCCTCTGACAATCTATCTGTAAACTGATATCAAAGTGTGTACTGTGTACACTACTATGCTATTGTGTGTGTGTGTGTGTGTGTGTGTGTGTGTGTGTGTGTGTGTGTGTGTGTGTGTGTGCGTGTCTGTGTGTGTGTGTTTGTGAGAGATCACTTCTTCTGCCGGCGGAAGAGATTCTTGACGCCCTCTGCCATAGGTTCGTTCATCATGCTCATTGGCTGGTTCTTCAGGGCAGCCTCCCGCATGCTTTTGTAAATATACTCATTCTCTCTAAACATCCTCAACTCCATCTCTGTCTGCATACGCATAGCCTAGGGAGAGGAGAAGGGATCAGGTCGTCAAGGTGAGTTTAATCTTGCAGATCATTTCCTGTTGTGTGTGTGTTTGTATTTGAGAATGCATGTGCGTGTGTGCATGTCTCATGTCTTACCTCAAGGTCTTTGGTGATGGGATGTGTGGGTCCGTGGGTTCTCTGCAGGATGGCATAGGCCTTACAGATCATGCCGTGTCCCACCTCTATCTTCCCTGCCTGCCAGTGGGTCACTCCTGCCCTCATGGTTGCCATCCCCAGGTGAGCATTGCATGGATGGAATAGCTTACTGTCAAAGTAGTGGTGATACATTTAATTATACCGTTTTTTCTTCTAAACTCTGTTCAGAGGTTTCTTAATGGTCAATTGTACTTACTTGTATCCGTCCACCATTTTGCGGGCATAGTCAGCGGCCTCGTCAATAAACTGCAGGTAGGCTAACACCTCGCTGGCTGTGCTCCACATCCTTAGCTGGTAGATGTGTGTATCAGCCAACACTGGCTCCTGTTTCTCCATACATTCCCTGCATATCTTAATAACCTGGGTGGAGAGAGGGGGAGAGAGGGAGGGTTGATTTAGGCTTGGATTCCAGTGTGTGTGTGTGTGTGTGTGTGTGTGTGTGTGCGTGTGCGTGTTGTCCCCTCATGTGTCCCCTCCATGCGAGCCTGTCATTTCTGTGTCTGAGACTGTACTCTGTTACTCCTTTCACCGTCCTTGGTACTGTGCAGGAGATGAGAGGAGTGTAAGGGGGACGCTGAGGGTGTAAGGAGAGACAGGAGGAGGAGGGACTAGATGAGAGGAACCCCCTGAGAGCAGTAGGACATCTTCGGAGTAGAGCTGACGGAGACAGATTGTTGAGAGTCTTCACCAGGGAGAGTAAGAGTAGAGGATGTAGGAGTACAGAGAGGACAGTAAAGGAGAGGACAGGAGATGAGAGGAGAGGACAGTAGATGAGAGGAGAGGACAGGACAGGACAGGAGAGGAGAGGAGAGGAGAGGAGAGGAGAGGAGAGGAGAGGAGAGGAGAGGAGAGGAGAGGAGAGAGAGAGAGGAGAGGAGAGGAGGAGAGGAGAGAGAGGAGAGGAGAGGAGAGGAGAGGAGAGAGAAGACAGGAGAACGACAGGAGATGAGAGGACAGGAGAGGACAGGAGATGAGATGAGAGGACAGGAGAGGACAGTAGAGGACAGGAGATGAGAGGAGAGGACAGGAGAGGAGAGGACAGTAGAGGACAGGAGAGGACATGAGAGGAGAGGACAGGAGAGGACAGTAGAGGACAGGAGAGGACAGGAGATGAGAGGAGAGGAGAGGACAGGAGAGGACAGTAGAGGACAGGAGAGGACAGGAGATGAGATGAGAGGACAGGAGAGGACAGTAGAGGACAGGTGATGAGAGGACAGGAGATGAGATGAGAGGATAGGAGAGGACAGGAGAGGACAGGGGATGAGAGGAGAGGACAGGAGAGGACAGTAAAGAAGACAGGATAAAGGAGATGAGATGAGAGGCTTTAGAGTACAGGAGATGTAGGGACATTTAGAGGACAGGGATGTTAAGAGGACAGGATGAGGAATAGGAGGGAGACATGAAGGAGGAGAATAGACAGGAGAACAGGAGATGATTAGGAGATGACATGAGAGGACAGTAGAGACAGTAGAGACATGATAGGAGGACAAGATAGATTAGAGATAGGAGAGGAAGGAGAGGACAGGGGATGATAGAGAGGACAGGGGAAGGAGTTGACAGGAGAGAAGGAGACAGCGTGGACAATGAGAGTACTTAGAGGAGAGAACAGGAAGGGACATATGAGAGGAAGGAGAGAGGGGATGAAGGCAAGACACCGGAGAGGACAGGAGCCCTGGTTTAGAGACAAAGATTATTCTTCTGCTCTGCTTCCACCTCCCCCAGACAACACACACACACACACACAGCACACTAATTGGAAGTAGCACAGTCAGCCGCAGTGCAGTGTTCCTGAAGCTTGTCTAAGTCCACTTTTTTGGTTACTGCATGATTCCATATGTGTTATTTCATAGTTTTGATTCCTTCACTATTATTCTACAATGTAAAAAATAGTACAAATAAAGAAAAACCCTTGAATGAGTAGATATATATATATATATATATATATATATATATATATATATATATGTGATGGGATGCATAGACAGTATGGACAGTGTATGGATAGAATATATAGTATATCTGAAGAATAGTATATGTACAGCAATAGTTGACTAGGATAGGCCTTGACTAGAATACAGTATATACATATGAAGTGGGTAAAACAGTATGTAAACATTATTAAAGTGACCAGTGTTTCATGTCTATTGACACAGGGCAGCAGCCTCTAAGGTGCATGGTAGAGTAAAGTTCAGGGCAGGGTACTGGGCAGAGGCCGGCTAGTGGTGAGGGCAAAAGGGCGCAACGGCATGAGATGGTACTTGGGATCTAAAACCAGCAATATGTTTTATGCATTAAAGACCATAGAGATGGATTTAGAACAGTTCTATGTTAAAGACATCCTATCCTCATTGTCTACGTGTCTGTTGGGTCCTAGAATGTGTGGCTCCACCTGGTCTCCTGTTGTCTAACCTTTTAACCCTAATTACAACTCCTGACTCCTGAGTATACATGTGTTCATGTGTGTCAGCATGAATGTGTGCTGGAATACATGTGGGGGTAGTATATAATGCGTCACTAGACACGTCTCACATGTCAGTCTGGTCTTGTCAAAATTACACACTGATTGACACCGATGACAACACGTTGGTATCACATGACAATGCATTGTGTTTGGTTACCAATGTTACCATTGCAGATGCTTAACAATGTTCTCTGGTTTTATAATGAGGCCATCTGTGAACATACTGACTGACAAAAGCCCTAGGATTAGAATTGTAATTCTATAGTCCCAGTACTCTAATGTTAGGGTATTGGTTTTATGATCCTAGTCGTCGAGGGCAGCTGTCTGGGCTGGCTTTTGTGTCTGACCTCTCAAACAGTGACTCATCTAGATGTAGGAAAGAATGTGAGTGGACTCTCCGCATGGCCTATTAGCAACTTGAAAGTGGTTTGATTTCATGTTATAGCTAGCAGTGATTTAACCTAAAGCAAGTCAACACATTCCCACAAGGCCTAGTATAGGATATGATGTTTCTAAATCGAAAGGTTCAGTTATTTTCAGTTAATCTTTAAACAATAATCAGTCCTAGGACCCATAATTTGATCCTATCATAATAAATCATGCACTGAACCCAATGGGAGATTTGTTGTGAACATTTGAATGACATACATGGGTGGATTTCACATTCACATGCCCTTACCTTGACCCCATCCACCTCCTTGCCTCCCATTTTGAGGTCATCTTTGATGTGACCCTTACAGTGTTCACAGGTGCAGTCAAAGAAGTAATGCATTTTCAGCTGTCTCTGTCTGTCCTCAGTCACGTTCAGGAAGTCCACGTAGGACACTGTCACCTCCTCACCTGGCTCGATCTTACCCAGGGCACGCAGCTCAATCCTGGGGTGAGGAGAGGGGCAGAGAGGGGGTTTTTGGGGGTGCTCCGGAGGCAAAGGGTAGGGTGCATCTCAATAGTCTAAAGTGGCATTCTGAGATGAACCCGTAGCTACAGTTGTAGATCAATTACATGTGACAATGCACAGATCACCTGGGGGGTCTTAGGCAACATTGGGTACATTTTTACACATGCTTTCATCAATATTTCCTAATACCAGCATAGACTTTGCTACTATCTACTTATCTACTATCATTCACACGGCACTCTGTACAAGACAGACAAGGAGGGAGAGGGAGACAGAGGGAGACAGAGGGAAACCCAGACAAACTGTGCTGAGACGAGCCAACAGCACAAACGGTGAAGGAAGACGTGAACACAGGTAGACATTCCTTATGCTTGCAGAGCTTGGCTTGCAAACAGGTGGTGCTTGTGACTTGCAGGACTGGAGTGGTGGAAAGGGGGAGTGCAGAGACTATCTCTGATAGTGATGCATCATAGGAGGGATGGGTGGTGAGGTTTTTATTGATGAGGATTTATGATGGTGAGATTTTAATTGATGATATTTAGGAAGTTGCTGGGTTATACTATTGTACCAGAAAGACCCACCTCATCTGAGAGTGATACACAGTATTCACAGCCGACTGACTGAAAGACAAAGCAAGAAGCAGTTTACACCAAACACACACACAAACACACACACAAACAAATACACATAATGTGCACAAAAACACACACACATACACAGTTTACAACTCAGTCAACCTCAATGCTCATGGTTTACCTATTGTTAATGAATTACAGTACATACTTGCCGTGGTTGAGGATGACAGTGCAGTTGGGCCAGCAGTCATGGTTGACCAGACACAGGTTAGGGAACAGACCCACTCCCACGGCATTTAGACCTCTCTGGTCACTCACTGTGAAGCCATTACAGTTGATCTACAGAGGGATGGAGAGGAACAGATGGACTGATGAAAAAAGGAAAGTGATAGAATAAGAAGAATAGGAAGAGAGAAAGAGAAACAGGTAGAAATGGAGAGAAGAGGGAAGAACCCACCACTCCAAAGATGTGTGAGATGTCGTCTACACGGTGCTGCTTGCTGTTGCGTGGCCAGTAGTCCAGGAAGTTGTGGATGTCCACCTTCAGCTCCTTTAGATCATCCTCAGGCATGTCACTGATGTGGTTCTCCAGATCGTCCAATGAGGTCATCTGCATGTCCGACATGACACTGCCCTCTTTATCGAGGCGCCACATGATGCGGGCGGCCAGACTGACAGGCAGGGACACGGAACATGAGTTGTAAGGTCAACCCTTAATGCTCATCCATAACATAATAATGACTCAATTGACAGTAAACTATTCAACACTGTACCCCTCTCTCTCTCGCTCTCTCTCTCCGCTTATCTCCCACACATCCTCCACAATTCCCTCATCCCTCTGTTCCCCCTCACCTCACCCACTGCCACTGTCCACTAGTGCCACCCACACACACAATCCCTCCTCACCGGATGTTCTCATTTGGTGCCTTTCCGAAGTTGTCCCCGATGGCCCCGAAAGCCTTGATGGCTCCACACTCCAGCTTGTGTTCCTTCCAGCCGGTGCTCTGGCATGTCTTGTCACAGTACTGGGCGAACTTACACTGGCCACAGCGTTGCAGCTTGTCCTGTCTGCGGAAACAGCTGTGGCAGATCTTGTCTGCAAGACTGGAGAGAGAGAGACAAGAGAGAGAGAAGAGAGAGAGAGAGAGAGAGATAGAGGGAGAGAGAAGAGAGAGAGAAAGACGAGAGAGTGAGGGGGTATGAAGGATGTGAAAGGAGGAGAGGGACACATTGAGGATAGAGACTCTTTGCATGTTGTCACTGTAAGCCAAACTTCACCCTCCACCTATGAGAGGGGGGGGGGGGGGGGTCAAGACAAAACAGAGAAAAGAGAGAAATATGTGCCATAGAGTATTTCAATAACTCAGTGATCACGGTGCATCATGACATCATAGGGGCTTCTACCATATAAAATGGAGTTTTAAAATTGCAATTGGAGACAGGGTCACTGTGAAGAGAGTCATGTCATACTATACCATGTCTTACCAGTGTTACCTAAGAATGTTGACATAATTACAATTGTTTTGACCTGCATGTACCCTCAGGGTTACAATGGAACTAATTGGCCATGTTTTCCACAGTGGACTACATATCAGGCTATTTTAAGATCTGACTGAGTGTGTTGGGGAATGTGGGTTTGGGTTAGGTCAGAGTGAAGTTGTCATTATGTACTGTAATAAATAGGCCTAACTAGACTGTGGTTATGTACTGTAATATATAGGCCTAACTAGACTAATGTTATGTACTGTAATAATAGGCCTAACTAGACTGTGGTTATGTACTGTAATAATAGGCCTAACTAGACTATAAATAATAAATAAATAATATGCCATTTAGCAGACGCTTTTATCCAAAGCGACTTACAGTCATGCGTGCATACATTTTTTTTTTGTGTATGGGTGGTCCTGGGGATCGAACCCACTACCTTGGCGTTACAAGCGCCGTGCTCTACCAGCTGAGCTACAGAGGACCACCCATATGGTTATTTACTGTAATAAATAGGCCTAACTAGACTATGGTTATGTACTGTAATAAATAGGCCTAACTAGACTATGGTTATGTACTCTAATAAATAGGCCTAACTAGACTGTGGTTATGTACTGTAATAAATAGGCCTAACTAGACTGTGGTTATGTACTGTAATAAATAGGCCTAACTAGACTATAGTTATGTACTGTAATAAATAGGCATAAATAGACTGTGGTTATGTACTGTAATAAATAGGCCTAACTAGACTATGTTATGTACTGTAATAAATAGGCCTAACTAGACTGTGGTTATGTACTGTAATACATAGGCCTAACTAGACTATAGTTATGTACTGTAATAAATAGGCCTAACTAGACTATAGTTATGTACTGTAATATATAGGCCTAACTAGACTGTGGTTATGTACTGTAATAAATAGGCCTAACTAGACTGTGGTTATGTACTGTAATAAATAGGCCTAACTAGACTGTGGTTATGTACTGTAATACATAGGCCTAACTAGACTATAGTTATGTACTGTAATAAATAGGCCTAACTAGACTATAGTTATGTACTGTAATATATAGGCCTAACTAGACTGTGGTTATGTACTGTAATAAATAGGCCTAACTAGACTATATTTATGTACTGTATGTACCCTCAGAACAAAAATGTATTGTTTTTCCATTTTAATGTGTTTATTCTGTGGACTATTCAGTCATTGGTTGCACATTTGGTATGTTTGTATCGGTGTGTTGAATAGAGTTCCCATAGGCCTACTGTAGGCCACATGAGGTTTAGAGTTCCCATAGGCCTACTGTAGGCCACATGAGGTTTAACCAACTCAGTGGCCTTGTGGTCCTGTACAGAGGCTGTTGGGAGAAGCTATAGGAGGAGAGGCTCATTGTAATGGCTGGAATGGAATTAATGGAACGGTATCAAACACATCAAACATATGGAAGCCACGTTTGACTCCGTTCCATTAATTCCATTCCAGCCATTACAATGAGCCCGTGCTCCTATTGCTCCTCCCACCAGAAAGAGGATATTTGGGCCTTCTGGCTCCGACAAGGTTTACTTGTCCGATGCTTAGTTACTTACATGACATTGAGTCTAGTTACATGATCAACAGCAGGGGAAGAAGGGCAGTAAAATACATCCCAACATTACCTCATGTGATGACCTTTGACCCTATATCTCTGTCCCCTGCCGAGGTCATAGCGCTCTGATCTTGTTGTTCACAAACTGGTTTGTACCTTTAATATCTTCAGAAGTTTCTTGTGCCTCTCCAGATAAACAAGTAAAAAACTATTCTAGCTACAGCTCAGCTGACACCATACTATAATTACACAGAGGAAGCTCCACCACAATAATAATTTATTTTGCTTCTTGTGCCCTAAGCTTTCCAGGCCTGTCCCACTGCCCTGAAAACATGTGGTGTGACAACAGTCCAGTTCATATGGCTGTCATGCAACTGTCATGTCTAATCATGTGCAGATGACAGAGAGAACTACATCATAGTACAGTATAGAACAGTACAGTAGTATAGTACAGTGCTGTATTAAGAAATGCAGCGGCCATGACTGAAGCCAAATGAGAGTTGTGGTCGTCTATTGTGTGTGTGTTCGCACGTGGCAAGCATTTGTACATTCACTCTGCCAAAACAGTACAAACTTAGTCACTCACCCTTCTAGATAACTTAAAACAGTCTAGCTGTGTCTTGAAGTCACCTATACTAGCTAATAAGAAAGCAAACTTATTTCGCCAATTAGCTTCAGCCGGCTGGTAGCAAAGTTGGTTTGATCTCTGGGGCTAGTTAGGGACCATCAATAATGTATGTTTATATTTACATGTTGCAGATCTTTTAGCTGTCTCATTTAATGCTTTTAATATGTGTACATGACTTTCTACAATTTATAGTTGGTTTGAGGTTCATAAGTCATTGAAATTTGGAGCTATTGACATTTTTAAATATTGTCCCATGTACATTGTGTAATTTACTGATGGTCCCTCATGTGTGGTCGCCCATGCATTAGGTGTTAGTCATGTCTCATGTGCCAAGCCAAACCCCATCCATACTGCAGCATCTTCTTACCTGTCAAAGACAACTGCAGCAAAAGGGGGTTCTGAGAAAAGAACGTCTCCGGAAAGCAGCTCCTTAGTGGCTCTAAGGCCCCTCCCCTTTCCAGGTGAGTCAAACACCTCAACGTTGTCCATATCAGGTGTGGAGGTCTGCTCCGAGAGACAGAGAAACAGTCCGTTAGGTTAAGGCGACAGAGAGAGAGAGAGAGAGACTGGAAGCGAGTACTGCATGGGTGTCCTCTACAAAGTATATCTTTCACGTTCTTCAACAACTGCACATTCCACACCCCAATCTATTAAAATAGTCTGTCACCACTTGAGCTGAACCAAGTCAGATAGGGGGGGGGGGGGGGGGGGGGGGGGGGGGGTTGGTGTGAGTTTGAAGGGTGCCACTAAAATAGTCTTGAAAGAATCCCAAACCAAAATCACTCCAATCACGTTCTAATGTCCTAAAGGCTCATCTACCATTTTTGAGAAAGTTACCATTACTTACAAGGTTTTATTGTTATTTTCCTTTGATCCAGTGACCCCCACACACACAGTCCTGAGTTGGTCTCTCCTGGGTCCTGGGGAGTATTTTGGTCTCTCAGTTGGGCCTGTCTGTCAGGAGTCAGTTGTGGTGACGTTGGACAGCTGCTGGAAGCTAGTCAGACCCAGCACCACACTATCTCCTTTCCTCCACCACGTTCTGGTACTTTCTCTCTCTCTCTTTCTCTCTCTCTCTTGCGCTCTCTCTCTCTCTCTCTCTCTCTCTCTCTCTCTCTCTCTTTCTCTATCTTTCTATCTCTCTCTATGACTAGGTGGGGTGTCAAGTATGATATCTTAAGGCCAGGCGAATATCATTAACCCTTGTTTAAAATCTTTAGGGCGACCATGTCCAAGAATATGAGATTGACAGTGTTACTTTAAACAAATGAAATAAGATATCTTCATAAAATTGGCAGAAGACAAAGTTAACTTTAAAATAAGTCTTACTTTAAAGTCCTACTCTAGTCTCCATCTCAGCTCATTTATCACCTGATTTACTTAACAAAAAGCACATTTCAATAGGTAGTCCAGGTATCCTCATGGCATGGCACAGGTTTTGTTCCTCAAGCAAGGGGAAAGGCCGATGACACCACAAATCCCATTCAGACCAACTCACTGAATGCCCTACTCCTTGAAGTTTGCAGTTGTGTCTAGAAAACACTATTTTGCTAAAAATGCATTTCTTGAGCTTGGCATCACAAATAATTCACACAAACGGAGACAAAGGCAAAGGTGCACAGGAAAAACATTAATTTTTTTACCCTTTCGTGTGTGTGTTTTATTGTATTTATACTTGGGATATTGCTTTTGAACAGTAAAGTTAAAAAATCACTGGAGGATGTCATTAAGTGTCACATCAAAGGAAAACATGATGATTATTTTCATCCATGAAATTACAAACAATATTATAAATGTGTGCAATGACTTAAGAGGACTCAAGCTTGAAAGAAAGTTACATTATATTGACATAAAACATAAATATATTTTTGACATAATAACACTGTATGAGTCATGACCTATATGAGACATCTGAGATTCAGTATATTATCATGTATTTTTCATAACAGTGAATTGTGTTTGTGGTATGAATAGCTGTTTGTAGCAACTTATGTAAGAAGGTAATACTGTAGTCTGATACAGTTCTGATTGTGACCCCATGTCCTGAGTGGCGCAGTGGTCTAAGGCACTGCATCGCAGTGCTAACTGTGCCACTAGATCCTGGTTCGTATCCAGGCTCTGTCGCAGCCGGCCGCGACCGGGAGACTCATGGGCGGCGCACAATTGGCCCAGCGTCGTCCAGGGTAGGGGAGGGAATGGCCAGGCAGGAATGTAGCTTAGTTGATAGAGCATGGCGTTTGCAACCCCAGGGTTGTGGGTTCGATTCCCACGGGGGGCCAGTATAAAAAAATATGTATTCACTAACTGTAAGTCGCTCTGGATAAGAGCGTCTGCTAAATGACGTAAAAAAATAAAAAATAAATACATACATACATACATTTTGAAATGTAAAGCATTGCAGGGCCTCTATCAGCTGACGGACCATGAAAGATCTGCTCAGTGCACTGTCATGCAATCTTCTTTTAGCCAGGAGTCAGCAGTCAGGACAGATAAGAAAACAGCTCAAGTCTGATAACAATAGACATTCCATTTATAGAAAAGCACACGGTTTTAGATATAAAGGGTAGGCTTTGAAGTTGAAGCACTTCAAATAGGTATTGGAAAGTTCAAAACAGAAGTAAGACCATTAGGCTTTTATTCTAACTGTGACTTTACCCTAATGGAAAAAACACATGAATTTCACAGTGAACACGTGAAGTGTTCCAAAAACACATTTTCACATGATCTTATGTGAAGTTAATGTGATAACATGTGACAACATGTAAAGCAACATGTGATAACATGAAACTACACATGTGAATACGTAATCACATGTGAAGTGTTCCATGTAAAATCATGTGGTTTTTCTGTAAGGGTACACTTACACCACGTTACTCAGTGGGTTTGCTTCTTCTTTGACCTCTGTCTGTCTCAGTCCTGTCTTTGACCACGGGTTAGGTTTCATAAGACACTGTGTCAGCCCTAAGGCATGCACGTACCGGTACATGGCTTTGGAAATAGACCTGTTAACAGTGTCAGCCTTCCTCAAAGGAATACCACAGTAGATTGGTAACATCTTAAAAAATATGTTCTAATATAGTAATACAGTTAGATGACAAAGCACAGCACAATAATCTTCCTGAGACAGCCCCAATATACAGTATGGACAGTAATTTGATCTGCCTGTCAATGGGACCTTGTTTCTGTGTTTGAAAGAGCAAAGAAGGAAGTATGAGGGAATCAGCGGTATGGTACACAGCAAATTGTCCAGTTTGAACTGGTGTTGATTTTTCAATGTAACATTTCTAGTGTTGATTCAGGAGTTAAATTAACTTTTAAAAAACAAAACAGTGTTGGTGGTAATAACCAGAGTTCAGTGTGATTGTGTCATTTGTACTCTTTGTAGAGTAAAACACACAATCACACCTATCATTATCATATTTCCCAGCATGCTCTACTGCAGGTTGATTTTCAGAATTGTTTCAATATCTGTGTTATTGCATGCACATTGATTGGTTAATTAATTACATTTTAGTCATTTAACAGACTCTTATCCAGAGCTACATACCAGAGCAATTAGAGTTAAGTGCCTTGCACAAGGGCACATCAACAGATTTTTCATCTAGTCAGCTCAGGGATTCGACCCAGGCCTCCAGTGTCCAGTCTGAAGCATGAAGTCACGAGCTCTGCTAGTTGGCTACTGCTTAGCAACCTAGCGTTGCCAAAAGCCCTGGTCTGCCCTAAAAAGCCTGTGTAAATTACGATCGACGAACTGAAAACATTTTGACGGCTGTTTTGGGCTCTAAAATGAGTTTATTATGATCAAGTTCGATCCCACTGTGAATTCTTTTAAAGTTTGCTACAAATTGAGACATTAATTAAATAGTAATCCATTCTGACTAATGCATTTGTCGTCACACCAAGTGCTGACACAGACCAGGCAGGCTACGAGGAGCTCGCGCCCTTATGCACGTTCTTTAACATGCACCTAAGGGGGTGTGGTGTGCTATCCAGATGAGAGTGCGGAGTCAACGAGCCTGTCAAGTGGAGATAGAGGGGCTGACCAATGTCTATGGGGCTCACAGAGGATGACAGAGTTGAGAACAAAGGATAGACATGGAGCTGGAGGATTGCACTCAAACTATGTTTGAAATATCAATTTAGCATGTAATTATAATTTTAAAACTGTTGGATTCCAAACTACATTGTATTTCGACGCTTTTATAGTGACAAAATAATGCAGTTGCACAAATGATAAAGATAGTCTACATCCATATAACAATACAGAATAAAAAAATATATAATGTATAATTTATATATAGTCCACTTTTTTCTCATTGGTTAATGCAATGTAGCCTTACTGAGTTGTGATCGGTTGCCGTGATGGTAGCCCATACATTTTTCAGGTGGAAGGATCATGGTCATATGATATCTAGACTAGATAGGGTACTCGCTCACACTTGACTTTGCGCGAATTTGAGTTTATGTCCAAGGCTTCCAGTATTGACGCAGACGTCATCTAGCATCGTTGGGTTGACTCTCTCAGGCGGGATGAAAATGACTACATCGACCATCATCCTTTGCTAGTTACAGCCGCTTTCACCATGATCCTTAGCAATATGGCACACTTCAAATTCTTCCGACTTCATGCGCCATTAGGAGTTTTCCATAATAATACAGCGGGGAGAACAAGTATTTGATACACTGACGATTTTGCAGGTTTTCCTACTTACAAAGCATGTAGAGGTCTGTAATTTGTATCATAGCTACACTTCAACTGTGAGAGACGGCATCTAAAACAAAAATCCAGAAAATCACATTGTATGATTTTTAAGTAATTAATTTGCATTTTATTTTATGACATAAGTATTTGATACATCAGAAAAGCAGAACTTAATATTTGGTACAGAAACCTTTGTTTGCAATTACAGAGATCATACGTTTCCTGTAGGTCTTGACCAGGTTTGCACACACTGCAGCAGGGATTTTGGCCCACTCCTCCATACAGACCTTCTCCAGATCCTTCAGGTTTCGGGGCTGTCGCTGGGCAATACGGACTTTCAGCTCCCTCCAAAGATGTTCTATTGGGTTCAGCTCTGGAGACTGGCTAGGCCACTCCAGGACCTTGAGATGCTTCTTACGGAGCCACTCCTTAGTTGCCCTGGCTGTGTGTGTCGGGTCGTTGTCATGCTGGAAGAACCAGTCACGACCCATCTTCAATGCTCTTACTGAGGGAAGGAGGTTGTTGGCCAAGATCTCACGATACATGGCCCCATCCATCCTCCCCTCAATACGGTGCAGTTGTCCTGTCTCCTTTGCAGAAAAGCATCCCCAAAGAATGATGTTTCCACCTCCATGCTTCACGGTTGGGATGGTGTTCTTGGGGTTGTACTCATCCTTCTTCTTCCTCCAAACCCGTGAGTGGAGTTTAGAGCAAAAAGCTCTATTTTTGTCTCATCAGACCACATGACCTTCTCCCATTCCTCCTCTGGATCATCCAGATGGTCATTGGCAAACTTCAGACGGGCCTGGACATGCGCTGGCTTGAGCAGGGGGACCTTGCGTGCGCTGCAGGATTTTAATTTGTGACGGCGTAGTGTGTTACTAATAGTTTTGTTTGAGACTGTGTCCCAGCTCTCTTC